TAAGGCCACATAAAAAAAATAGTTGGTTAGCGTCCTCGCCCGCCCACAAAAAAGGCCTGCTCAGGATTTTTTATTTAAAAAAAAAACAACTTTTATTGATCAACGGGCTCTAATATATGTAGTATTTCTGTTGACTGTAGTCAATTGTGTTAATAAGTTGCGAAATTGTGTGCGAAAATGACGATATGAATCATATTTTGAAATATATAAAAAAATATCTGTACTGCGCAAGAAAATCCAGTTTCAGACCTAACACCAAGGCGTTAAAAATTAGTAAAAATTTAAAAAAAAAGCGCCCGTCCGCCCACTTTTTGGCAAAAGCTAAGGACGCTAACCGACTATTTTTTTATGTGGCCTAATTATCGAAGTAGAATGCTATTTCGTTGTATTAAATTTCCGGGGGGCCTTAGTTTTTGAACTAACCCTTCCCAATGAGCGTTACGCCAATGCTTTCTTGATTTCAAAGCGATCTTTTCCATAATATTAGCTCGTTATTAATTACATGCCTATAACTTGACGCGCCAATCCGACTACCGCTAATGGCTGCCATAGTATATCTATGAAATACTCCAATTCCAACATCGGGTAAATCTGGGTCGGACAGTCTTTGACTTTGGACTGCTTTTGCCTCAATCTTTATTACTTTTATACAATAAGGCCAGATAAAAAATAGTTGGTGATCGTCCTTTACTTTCGCCAAAAGTCGGGTGGACGGGTTTATTTTTATATAAAGATTTGCGTCAAATAAACACCTGACAAGGGTATTTATTTCAGCACTGCTAATGAGTGTAGAACTTATTTTATAAGAAATGTATTCGCGCCCTTTATCCTTACAGCACGGCCAAATTTTTGCCCTGTAAACCACTCTTTTGTAGAGTTTCTATCCACCTATGTCGATCATGATGTGGGCAATGTATGTCAACGCAGGATTTTTTCACCAGGAGGCAGTAATACCAACATAGAAATTTTTCTATTATACATTTCCAAAATTATATGTTGTTGGGAAGGGGGATAACAAAGACATTAAATTTTTTCTGGGGGCAGTTGCCCCTGCGTACGGCCCGTGTTACGGTCCTGTGTCATAGTCCACAGAAAGCCCAGGCTCTGCTAATCCGGAAATCGTTAAACAACTCAAACCTGATTGAACAACGAATTGACAAATAAATTCAAATACTAAGACGCGGACATTTTTTCGCCGTATTCTATTACGAATTTAAACTCTTTGACGATTTATTATAGAGTTGTACACACTATGCATGACCATTCTTGAAGAATGAAGGTTGAAACTTCACGACTCACTAACCACAGCTGTTACAAATTCGAATGTATATGGACACAGGATGTCAGTAAGAAAAAATAAAGAAAAAATTTTTGATTACGTTTTGTTCATGCACACGAACTTGTTTGAATTTATTGATGGTTTAATGAAAGAGCGTCACGTAAGTCAGCAACTTTCAGAGAACCAGAACTGAGGACAAAATGATGGGAAGCAGCTTCAGTTAATACGTAACAAATAAAGAGAAAAATTAAACACTGACTAAGTCTAAAATAAAGTTCAAAATAGTGGCCTTTTGTGTTGACATGATTGCCGTTCCATTCACTTCACGCGAAGTTTGCCGTTTTTCAGTCATTTTGTATTACAAACGGGAAATTGACAGCCCAATCGGGTGTTGAGGCGTCAATTTCCCGTTTGTAATACAAAATGACTGAAAATTTCAAATTTCGCAAGGCTATATTATCCGCATTTTACAACATTTCGCAACGAAACTTTGGAATATTACTAATTTTGTGATGCTCTTTCAAGCTGTGATGAAATTTTTGTCTAGATCAAAATTTAGTCTATAATGCAAATGGTGATTTGGCCGGTCATCAATGGTGATTTGGCCGGTCACCTTGACCGGCGAGCGACCCTGCAGCCGCTATTTCGCGCTCTGCTAAAAATTACATTGAGTTTCTATGTTGTTTTCAGGTAATTCGTCAGTGTGTAATACCATGACGGAAAACGAAGCAACCTGCAGTACTGCAGCAAGTCAGGAGTCCGAGAAAGACACAGTTGAGACAAAACCTGAGCGATGCTTTGCTATTATTGTACAAAAAACCCCGAAGAATTTTCGGGGAGAGCAATATTTTAATATCATATATGAAAATATAAGTCAACTTAGCCCACGTAAATGGAAATGTATAACACAAAATGGCACCAATATCGTCTTAGTGAAACGTGATGTTTCAGAATCGTTGGATATTCAGTGTTTTGACTTATTTACATTGTCAACACACCAAGATTTTGCATCATCTAATACCATTTCAAGCAATGAAGAAGCGTCTGCTTCTAGCGTTAACTCGTGTGACTGTTCCAATAGTTTCTCAACATTGAGAAATATTTTAAATTCAGCGAGCACTGAGCAGTGGATATGCTTTTGGATATGTCGTGGGAAAACTTATCTTTCCATAATTGACGAGCAAACTAATATCCCTGTTGAAGATTTTAACCAACTGGAAACTCTTGTTGGGCAACTTATAAAGTTAAATAACGATGCAGCCAGTATAGTAAGCATTCGAGTTCCTTTGGGTGAAACAGAAAATGACGTGAAAACCGTTATTACGTCGCATATTATCAGTCAGGAAGAATTCTTTAAGGAGGTGAACGAGATAGTTTATCAAAAACGTAAGATATTAAAAAAAATGAATACATTGATATATAAACATTGTGGAACTGCTGAAGATGATTCGGCAAGTAAGATAGAAGCTCCTTCCAATGTTGTACCAGGTCCGGTTTCTAGAAATACTTCGGCAAATAATGATGATTTACATGCTCTTCAAGCTGGAGGTTCAATTCCTTTACGTACCCTACTACAGTGCATTGTGGTACGTTTAACTACTTCTGACTGGATCGAATTACGTCGGTATGTTGGTCGTGATGTTCCTGTAAGAGTTCTTGGAAATATCGCAGACAACATCGACTTTTTCCAAGAATTAGAAAACCGTAGCATGATACAACTGGGAAATACGGAATACATTAGAAGTGGATTCTATGAAATCGGACGTGTTGATCTCGTTCATTTACTGGACTGCATTCAAGATGGCGACTATAGTTTCTTGAACCTGGATACAGTTGGAGAACGAAGAATTCGCAGCGACGATAGAAATTTGGAAAGCAGAGCCCGCTCGCTGGTGCGTCAAATGCGAGATTTAACTGTAGACAGAGGAAGAAGTGACAATACTGCTGACCAAAGTAGTTTACGGTCTTCCTCTGGAGCTAATACCCAGTCCTCTGTAAGTGAAACGCGCGAGATGGTCGTGACAGATGGATAGATAGCAAGATCTCCACCTAATGTGGCTGGTAATAGTAATGCAAGAGACAGACCTTTACAAAGAAGATACCGTAATGTACCTCAACGTACTACACCATCCACACCTTATCCTGTACAGGAACAAATAGAGGACGGTATTCGTACCCAGGAGCAAATCCCCGAGAACGTATCGAACAGCGAAGGAGATACATCTGCCGGAAATACAGACGATGCATCCATCCAGAGTACAAATGCAGAGGGTTTAACTCCCCAGAGTACAACTTCCAAGACTACATCCCCCCAGGGTGAAAATACGGAGGATACACTTCCTCAACATGAAAATGCGGTGGATACACTTCCCGGAGGTGAAAATGTTGAAGGTACACTTCCCGGAGGTGAAAATGTCGAAGGTACACTTCCCGGAGGTGAAAATGTTGAAGGTACACTTCCCGGAGGTGAAAATGTCGAAGGTACACTTCCCGGAGG